TTGAAGAGGCACGAATGGAGGTGAAAAGAGGAAACGTGCCAAGAGGAAGGCGCTCAAGCCAACCCCGACCAGACCACCTTCCACCTGGAAACCAATGCTCACTGCGGAAGAAGATGCAGAGCAAGAATAGGGCTCCACAGCCACATACGGACCCACAAGGAAATCCATAATGGAAGACCATCTTACTCGTCCAACGAGGGATCGCCTAAGTAAAGACCCTCTTATCTATGTTGCTGAAGGACAATGTTACACTTTATTTCAAACAAATAAATTATCTGCTCAGAGGAAAACCCATAATCTCCAGCTATGATTGAGCTTTTAAATCTCTGTGTTGCATTGCCCTTCAAGAAAAGAAGTGAAAGCACCAATCATCTGTTTAAGAGAGAAGGATAGAAGGCAGATTGAGTTCCCCTCTCTTGCTATTCATGCCATAGAGATGATTGGGGTGCAGTAGCTGATGTTTTGAAAGGGCAATGGATATGTAGCTCTTAACTGCATGGAAGAGATGCTTTTTCTGTATAAAGTCATTTCACTAATATGCTAACAGAAAGAATAAGAGCCTCATTGCAGACTCCTGTGTGCAATCACTTCACAATTTTTTAAGTGTGGTTTATATCATTTGAAAGCCATAAAGTAAAGGTTTACTCCTGTTTTTTAAAAAAAGATTTGCTTTTTATTTTGTTTATAAGGAAAATATGAACTTATATCATATAGTATACTAAAGCTAATAGAGGAACATACAACATTTATACCTCAGCAGCCAAAACACTTTAGTGCTGCCCTGGTTTTGCATATTGCTGAAGTTTGGGCTTTTCATGTTGAATTTAAGAGTTGATATGGAATTAATGTTAATTAATTTAAATATTTTAACCTTAACTGTTTTAACTTATAAAATGTTTAATTGTTTTTAAAATCTTATATTTATACTTTGATTGATTTTATATTGTTTTAACATGTTACTCCCTGCCTTGAGTTATATTCATAGAAGAAACTGTTGGATCTCATTAAAATTTTCATCAAACCAGTCTTGATGTTTCTTCGTTTGTTATCCAATGATTTCTTCACAGGCTGTGATGATAGAGGTCTTCGGTTTATTCCAATGTTCCTCAACATTTTCAGGGTGTTCTATGAGTAGACGATCCTTGAGTGGTCTGTGACATCACAGTGGTCTGTGACATGTATAATTACATAGTCTAAGAGGTGTCAATGCTTTGACCAGGGACACTTCCATGATGTCTTAAGCTTGTTTTCTGGGTGGAAGAGTGTGTTTGTGATCACAAGGTTATGTTCCACACATTTGATGAGAAGCAAGATGCCATTCCAATTATTGTTTCTAACCCCAGCTTTTCCTATGGTCCCTGGCCACAGGTCAAGGTCTCATCCAACTCTCACATTAAACTCACACAGTTTAATGTGTGAGTTTCTCTGACAGGATGGTGTCCAGTTGATAACAAAACTTTTCCTTGATGTCCTCATCAGTATCTAGTGCTTGTGCATAGACATTTATGATGGTTGCCAGTGGTTTTTTGGCAATGTTGACCATGCCACTGAATAAGACCCTCATTCTGTGAAGACTGTTTGTTGATTGGTTGTGCACTGTGGACTGACCTCCGTTCACTAAAAAAAAAATCCTTCACACATATGTGTCTTCCAAGAAAAATAAAACAAAACCTTTCACGAAGTATTAAACTCAGGACTCCTCTACAGACCAAAGGGAAAGGATCACAGAAAGAGTGGTATCTTAACTCTGACGCTTTTTAATCCAGGTCTTAATGAAGGATATAAGGACAAACAATGTCATTGTCTAAAATGACAGGAAGGGGAGGCCAGGGAGCAGGCATGTAGCGGGGGGGGGGGGGGGGGGGCTTGAGGGGCTTCAGCCCCCCCCCAAATTCTCATGGTGGTTCGCGAAAAGGCCTTACTGGTGCATTATTTAAACTGTTATGTTTATTCATATCATGATCTGATCACCATACTCAATATATCCCATATGCATGGGGGTATTGGGGTAATGATACAAAAGGTTTGCTAGGCTAGACCCTCTTTCACTCAGACTCAGCCCCCCCCAAACTCACCCCCCCGAAACTCAGCCCCCCCCGAAACCCCCCCTGAAAAAAAATCAGCCCCCCCCCTTCGAAATGAAATCCTGGCTACGGGCCTGCCAGGGAGTTAGCCCTCCCCCCCCCCCTTGCCACCAATGGACCGGATCTGGCCATACTTTTTGGCTGCAGTACAAAAATGACTATCTGGCTACCTTCCTGCTTTTGGGAAGCAAACAAAAATGGATGTGGCGGTCTACCGGTATCCAGCCAGCAGACACAGATCGAGGTTCAGCCGAAATGCACAAGCCTACTCCTTATATGTTCACTATATTGTTGTTCCTCATAGAGCTTGGTTATCAGACCAGATTGCCAATAACATTCTTGGACTCTGGGATCTATAAATGAACAAATGAATAGAGTATTCCAGATGAGGTTCAACCACAGAGGAGTAGAGTGGACACTATTCCTCCTGATGCTATACTGAATCTGGACACTATACTATACAGTGATATTAAATAGTAATAAAAACAAATGGATGTTCCTGCATAGGAGATGGCGGGATCCTACGCATGCTCTATCTATAATGAGGAGAGAGGTCCAATTTGACACATTATAGCCACAAAAAGTTACTGAAGTTCCACACAACTATGGAAGAATACAGGAGGCATACCTCAACTGCAAGCAAGTTACACTTCTTATTTTGCATGTCTTTGTCTGAACAAAAAAAAAACAACCTTATTTCCATATCATAAAACACCTTTTCATGTTTTTGAAATGTGTGGCATTTTTTCAGATCCTCAACAGCTGAGAGGGAATCTGAACACATTTCCTTTTTATTATTTTTATTCAGCATAAGAACTTATGTCTCATAACCTTTGGTCCTTCTTTACTTGGCTTTTTCTTTTAAGCTACATTAGAGTGCTTCATGCCATCAGACTTCAATGGAAAGAAATAAAAAAAAATCAAACATGGGCACTTGCTTCAGGTAAAGGTAAGAAGATACCCAAAGCTTTTCATAAACCTTAAGCAAACTCTGTTCAACCTTGATAATGTTTAAATAACAGTCTTTATAACATCCCTTTTTATTTGACATTGCTTCAATAAATACTTCGAGCCAGAGGCTCTCTTGGGTCTTTCCTGCTTCTGCAAAAGACTGATAGTCTTTCCAGCACTTTTGTTTAAATTGAGGATTTTGAAATGAAAGGTTCAATGTTTTTCTTTTAAAACACACACCAAATAACAATGGCTATTTACATTCCAATATGAGTTTGCTTTTCTTTGATTTGTTTCACTTTGAAGAGAGATTTTCACATGTTCCTATATGGTACGAAAAGTAGCCTTCAGCCAGCCTCATGGGAGAAGTCAGGGATTATTGACACAACTTTCTCTGCACAGCCACCTTGGGACTTGAGTAGTTTACAACAATAGTTTAAGAAAATAACCAAGGAAAATTGCTTCCAATTCAATCTGCAAATGGAATCAAAGGAGGAAGAACGTAATAATCTGTATTGGATTTTAGCCAGGGCACCAAAGGTTAATAACTCAAATGATATTTTTGCAATCCCAATGCACCTTTGGTTAGGAGCTTTATAAAATAACTACCTGAAAAAATGCCATTACTATAGTGCTGTTTCTTCTCATATTGTCAACATTTTCAAAGAGATAACCATGCTAGTCTTTTCCAGTAAAACAACCACATATATTTTGGCATCTTTAATACTAATAAAAGTATTGTAGCATGAGCTATTATGTCTTACTGTCCACTTTTTCAAATGCATATGGCATAATATTAGGGCATGTAAATGGCAGTAGGTGGTTGAGATCCAAGCAAAACTAAACATAGAAGATAACAATTATTCACATAATTGAATACATGTAACAAAAGTGTGTGTGTGTTTGTGGGGGGGAGCTTTGATATGTTCTGTTGCTCTGAGTGTTTTGCCAAATATTTTAGAGATGTTTCTCATTGACTTATGAATATTTTGTCATAACTCAAACTATTAAAGCCTATAGAGAAGAGATGTCATCTTATTTTAAATTATTGAGGAACTGGAACTTTTTCAGATGCCAGATGAATGCCCACAATCAGGAGTATAGCTGGGTTGTGGGGAGGGGGCAAAATAAGACCATGGCCTCTCCAAATAAAGTATTCCTGGTATTTCATAGATTAAGGCATTGAAAAGCATCCACACTTACAGTTCATACATTTGGTTTTGTTCACATTCCATGATTTGACACTTTCCTTTGCCTGCCACCCTTTGCCTGCCAAGTGATAGGTACACCCTACCCATAGCTCCTCCTCTCACTTCTGTTGGATTCTACTCTTGTTTCAAAGGATATTCAGCATTGAATCCTTACACTGTCACAGCTTTGAAACCCATTCTCTGATCAGCCTCTAATGCTGTGGTCCTCAACCTGTGGATTCCCAGGTGTTTTGGCCTACAACTCCCAGAAATCTCAGCCAGTTTACCAGCTGTTAGAATTACTGGGTGTTGAAGGCCAAAACATCTGGGGACCAACAGGTTGATAACCACTGCTTTAAAGTGTCTTCCAGTTAGCTCCCTTACACACATGGGAATAGGATTTTGTTTGTCTGAATGTACAGGGGTAGTCAGAACCAACCAGAGGCAATCCTGTGGTTGATCAGAAGAAGGTGTCAAACATTTGTGTCCAGAGCCTCTCAGGTATTGTTGAACTGCCAAAAGAGAAGTAAAGATGATGGAACAGCTACCCCATAATGATGGTACAAGTACACCAGCAGATACTTGTGCTCCATCAGTGTACTTACTGGATGTAGAATTTATCAATTAAACCATCCCATAGGGTAAAGAGAGCATTAATAATTTTGAGAAAGAAAAGAGAACTAAACTAGCTTTAAGTTTTTCACATTGTTCTTACACATGTTTCTATTTGGAAAATACCAGTATTAAAAGGGAAATAAAACTACACTCTATTTACCAAGTATGACTGAAGCCTCAATAATTCCCAGTTCAACTGTGGTTGCTGCCTTCAGTGTATACATAGATGGGATCTGTAGAAGAATGCTCATTTCTCCAAAGGATTCCTTTGGATTCAACTGGCCAATGAGGACATGTCTCAATTGTTTAATCTGTTTTGAAATATGAAAAAAACCTGTTACTTCTTCCTATAGTTCTATCTAAAACTAGAAAATACACGAGATGCATTTTATAATAAAATCCATACAAAATGCTGGGTAGCTGTGAAAAATACATTTTTGGGGAAAGATTTGCTCTAGGAAATCATCAGTGAAATTTTAGAGCTTGACTACAATTTATTCAAGCAAACTACACATGTTGTGAGAAGCAATAACTCACACACATTCAGGAATGTGTGATCATTAACATATACTAGAACTCTAAAATACAGACAGGCCTCCACATTTGCAAGTTTTGTGATTTTGATTTTTTGTAGATTTCATTAAAATGCTTTCTTTAGGACTCTCTAGGTTCTCCAGTCTGACTGTATGGTCAACTTCTGTCAGAAGTGGAGGCTTAAACGTTTCCTCTCCAAGCATCTCTAAGACCTCCGGTGCAATTCTATGGTCAACATCCTGTGGAAGTAGACTGTATAGTTATGCTGGAAGATGCAGAGGTTTCCAGAGAGGTATTCTCCCCCCAAAAAAATAATTCGAAGGTTTTTGACTCTTGTGAGGTGTCTTATGCTCCTCAACCCAGGGAATCTGGGGGGTTGACTGTAATACATAACCAGTAAAACTGCTAATTGTAACTGGGTGACTTGGGGATAGAAAGATAACAATGTTACATATTGAAAAACAATGTAACAAGTAACAGCAAAGTTCCTATAGGATAGTTACTTTGAGATTATATGGTTCCTGAGTCCAGAGGATGATCTCTGACTCTCTTCTCCCCCGTTTCTGACGTTTCCCTAATGAATCCTGATGGAACGGACAGGAAGTTCCTCTGTGTCTTAGGAAGAGCTCCACTATGAATCATACCCTCAATTGATTAAAAATCTTTTAAAACAAGAGGGGAGGCTGGGATAAGGTACTTGGTATGCAAGAACTACAAAACATTAAAGACAGTAGCATGACTTCTGTATCCTCATCCAAAATATTAATGTGGCTAAGGGACATAAAGGGAATGGGCTGGAGATGACTATGGGAGCTTTTTATAAGCCTTTCCTTACTTGTATCCATATGGGGGAGAATTGGGTTCTATATACAATAACTTCTGATGTAAAATATTCATCTTTACATGTTCATATGATGATGGCTTGGCATCTAACAACACTCAAAAAGATAGAAACCCATTGCTAAAGGGAGGAAAAGAATCAGATACAGATTTGCATATGACTTGCATATGCTAACATATGTTTACATGTTTATACAATGCCTTCAACAAGTCATGGTGTGGCTGAATTGGAAGTTACTTATAAACTTCCATATAAGCCAACTTCATGTTTTAATTCAAGGACCGAATTGATGGACAAAATTATGGATTTGATGTGGCCTATGGATACATTAATGGTCATTACACAGAGAAGGTAAAGTGCCAGCTGACATCATCACTATTTTCCCACCAAGGCATTGAAAAAGGCATTTTTTTACTCAGAGAAGTGGATGGTTCCTTTTCAAATGAGAATACAGGTACTGTCTCTACATTGACCTGTAGACAAGTCAATTCAGACTTTTGGCATCCATCTTTTGTCTAAAACAACTAGATTTATACATGACTGTATGCAGTAAGTGTTCAGTTGCTTCCCAATAGCTATCTTTTGTTCCACAAAATGGTTTATTCTTCAAACAGAAGATGCTTTCAAATAAACTAGTGCCCTCTGTAAAGCAAGATGGATGGGCACACAATATTACTGTATCTTAAAACAATTTAATAGAAGGAACTCAAAGAACATGTTCAAATATCTTTTGAAACAAGACTTCATTGGATAATCATTCACAGATCTATAGCAAATTCTCTGATTTGAATAGCAGGAGCAGCAGTGCCCTATTTAATCAATGAGAGATGTGAACTGCAGAACTCAAGGCTACAACAGAAGGTATTGTTGCAAATAATCATTGCAGCAAGATTCTTTTTTCTTTTCCTTTATGGTGTGAAAGCTTAAAGAGAACTTTCCATGTTCTCCTATTCTTATCTTTGCTTTTTATTATTCATGAAAACACCTTCAATGACTAAGTAAGGAAACATAAGATGCATTTTCTAGGATATCAGAGTAGATATCAGAGAAGATACCCTAGGGAAATGTAATTCCTTACCATTTTCCCTAGAGGCAGCTTCACAAGGGCTGGAATTACTCTGTAAGCATTGCAGTGTCCAGATTTAATGAATCCAATATATTCGCTGATTTCTCCTCCTTTCATAAACACTGTAACAAAAAGAACAACAATGACCAATAGATGTGTGTGGGGGAAGGGGGAGCCAATTCCTAAGTGTTTTTATATATTTTAGTATATGTCAAATTAAGCAATTTTTCTAGTGATTCTTTAAAAGAATCTTACTATTCATTTATTTGTTAATCTATATCATGACTTGCATGGGACACAAGAAGGCATACCTAGAAGCCTGGTGAGATTTTAAAAACAACAACAACAACAACAAAAAAACAAATTAGAACACAAATATTTTAAAACTTTATAATATCATTGAAAACACTGCAATAACATTCCAATAAGAATACAAGTAAAGCATGTGTGCATATGGCATTAAAAATTCCATCTATAAAACTAGTTACTGATTAAATATATGTTTAAAATAAAAGGTCTTTACCTAATAGTGGGAAGAGAGCAAAGACTGAAGTATATCTGCCCTGTTAAAAAGGCATATAAGGCCAATGAAAAAACTATCAGTTTTGAAATATGCAGTAATACTAATACTTTCCAGATGAATAAAAGCTGTAACTCAAGAAAGTTGTACCCATACCTCACATCTTTCCATGTTGCAAACCAGTTACAGCAAGTATGTTATTGTGGTTTGAATGTAGGGACCTCCTCACAATGCTGCTGGAATAGCTGAAGACTGCTGCTGATCACAGCAATCATGGTAGCATCCACCAATGGGGCATGGGAACTTATCCCATGCCCTGCACCATCCCAGCTTCCCGCCTACCACATCACACAAGGAGAAGTGTCAGGCAGGTGGTGCTGACCATTCAATTTCTTTGAAAAGACAGGTTGCCCCTGTCTTTTGCTGCCACCTATTTTTTGGCAATAGCACAGGTTTTTTTGGCATTTTCACCATGGAGCCACCTGGAACTACTTCTCTGGGGTGTGATGGGAACTGGTGAGGTCCGTGGCAAAACTGCTGCCACCGCCAAAAGATAGTCCATGTAAAGAGGTAGTAAGATTCTGGGAGACTGAGGTTTGAATCCTGCTTCAGTTATGGAAACACACTGGGTAGTATTGGGCAAGTCACACTTTCTCCGCCTCAGAGCTATGAGCAAATCCCTTTGATCAAATCTTGCCAACAAAAACCTCATGACATGTTCACCTTAGGGTTGACATAAGTTGAAAATTACTCGAAAGCATGCAATTGTTGATTTCCTTGGAATTAACCAATTTTTAGTTATAGATTTAAATTGCTTTGTCCTAAAGGATTTAAGTACCCCCTGCATATATAAAATAATCAGATGAGAGATATGAGAAAATCTTTTCTATCTTCTCTGAATTTTGTTTATACTTAATATGGTTTTAATTAATACACATTTGGGATAGAAGTAATTCCAGATTTACTATGAAATATTGTGATGTTTATTGTTATCTTTAATGGAATATACTTTCAGCATGAAAAGGTGTGCATCCAAATGAGACCTTAAGATTTAGTTTATTCAGCCCTAGACAATCCTGCTTTCTTAATCAGCTCTTATTCTTTTCCAAGTTAAAGAGTATTTCTTTCCAAATTTGCATTTCCTGCCCAGAAGTGCACATAGTTCCCTTCAACACAGATGTGTCTGAATTCATCCAGAATTTCATTTTGAAAAAAAAAATAGTGTTCTGGTGCCAATGGAGTTTTTCCAGGTTCAAACAGTGGCTGGGCCATTTCCAAACTACTCTGTGGGGTGGGAGATCAGCTTCCCATTTCATTCTTTCCAGTCTACCCAGAGCTGATTAAAAGGAAGGAAGGAAGATAGAAAAAGAAAAGAGAGAGAAAAGCTTTTGAAATAATTAATATTTGGTCCTCACACATAGAATACATGAAAGGCATTGGCAATTGTTCATTAGGACAGTACAAATGGAAAATGGGAAGAAGAAGCCACACAAATTGGCCAGACTAAACAGCTAGAAAATCAGACTCTAGCAAAGTGGAGTAGCACAAAATCATTGCAAACTTTTATTTGATGCAAGTATACAAGAGCAAAGCTCTGTAGAAATCAATGAAGCTATGAATCTCCTGCATTACACCAGCTGGATTGCTCAGCTTGAGTTGGCACCAAACATTTTTCCGTGGCTGGAAAAAAATAGCAATAATAAACGCAGATGCTTTCAAAGTATAATGCTGCCATTATATGCTCCTTTGTGACAGCTCATTGATGCAAAAATGGCTGTGAGCTTAGCACCACTCATCATCTAACCCAGATTTATGGACAACTTATAACAAAATAGTGGCTGTACCATAAAGGCCAAGGTGACTCTAAGTTTCAAATGGACTAGGCGGCAGTAGAAAAATGACATTGTTAAAAGCTATATTTGTATATAACACCCCTCAATTTTGTTTAGGATTCACTACATAAAATAACACCATAAATGCAATCCCAGCATGTGTTCAATCTCAGCTAATAAACTTTTTGAAGAACATATTCTGCCTGACTGATGATAGCACAAAACCAAGAACAACAGGATGTCTGATATATGTTTGGGAGTGTAAACTGTGATCGTTGGAGTTGACAGACCACTGTTAGGTGACCATAACTATTTTTTGCCAACAAGGTCCTTCAGTTGGAACTGAAGAGTCCCCTCAGACTACATACTTATCTGTCAAAGAAAGTGCTACATTTTCTTATACAGTCTACCTAATTCCTGGATTCTGGAATTAGCCATCCATAGAATCTACACCTTGTCAGTTTCTATTTATTCCAGTCATGCAACTCATCACAGCTTCCAGACACTCTGTCAAATGCAACGGAGGAAACTGCAGACCACCTTCATATTTGTCCTGATTGAGAGCCCAGATGAGCACATCTACATTCCAAAACAATTAGCAGAGGAAGGCCACACATATTTACAAATCTAGTTTGTGCCACTCGAGAGGGTAAAGTGCCTCTGCTACTGACACTGCCTCCTCCTCCTCCTCTTCCTTATCTGCAGCTGCTATCTGAGATGGATCAGGCCCTGCTCCTTCCTATCTGCCTCTTCTGGCTTGTACTGAGTCCTTTCATCTTGACTCTCTTCTTCCCCTTGTTCAACCAAAATGGTCTCCTCCAAGTGGTATATAACAATCTTGTTGCCACAGTGCATTTTGTTCTTCTTTCTTCTCTGAGTTCCATTTACAAATTAAAATTGAAATGGCTTTCTTTATGTGGTATCCTTTTATTTCCCTCAGAGATTCATGTGATGAAAAATAGTAAAATTATTAAATCCCACAGCATCACTGCCCTAAAGCTGCACAGAAGTTTGCTGGTTTTACTCTTGATAATGACCCTGAAGGTAGAAAAATAAGCAATCTAATACATATGTCAGTCCACAGAACTGTTCCAGAAAGATTTCATGATCAGTGGTAAGAAAGACTGCTGATAGGTCAAGGAGACTATGCCTGTATACTGAATAAAATGAGTCCACACAATTCAGCTATGTAACTCACCTTTACACAAAATCTAAAAATGTGGAAAGACAATGTGTGAGTCACTAATGCATTGTTCCTCACTTCTTTGGAGCAATATGCAAAGTGGTGCTCACCCTCCTAAACCCAGTATAAACTGAAATATATTTTCTATTCTGTCAAGAGACACTACACTGGGAAGTGTCGCATAAAATTCCATCCAGGTGGAATTATGCCATGTCTCCTTTAACCCTCATAGAGGACTCAACTATATTCTATGTGACTACCACCTTAATGGGCATTGAATAGCTGATAAAAGCATAAGTTTCAAGAGTATATTCCCCTATAGTCAGATGCAAAATAATATCATCCTCAGGGACCATAGGAGGAGGAGGAGGAGGAGGAGGAGGAGGAGGAGGAGGAGGAGGAGGAGGAGGAGGAGGAGGAGGAGGAGGAGGAGGAGGAGGAGGAGGAGGAGAGGGAGGCAGTCTTGGATGATGCCTTTTTTGTTCTGTGTCTAGCACCAGCACTGTGGCACAGCTGGCTGGAAGTCAGCTGCATTAAGATCACTACTGACTGAAAGGTCATGAGTTCGAAGCCAGCCCAGGTTGGAGTGAGCTTACGACCATCTGTGTCACTTGCTGTCAACCTTTGCAGCCCAAAAGACAGTTGCATGTGTCAAGTAGGAAATTTAGGTACCGCATATCCAGGAAGGCTAATTTAAGTAATTTACAATGTCATAAAATCTCCAGAAAACAAGCAAAAGAATGAGGAAGTACTCCATCAGTGTCACAAATGGACGGTGAAGTAACAGCTCCCCTGGTGGCCAGAATACCCTCACGAAGCTGCAATGTTACATTGCCTCTGTGTGTCTATCTATATATGTTGTGTGTCTATGGGATTGAATGTTTGCCATGTAGATGTACATTGTAATCTGCCCTGAGTCCCTTGTGGGGTGAGAAATGTGGAATATAAATACTGTAAGTAAGTAAGTAAATAAATAAATAAATAAACAATAGCTATAGCAACATAGTCAGATGCTCTTCCAAAACCACTTGCTCTCCATTAGCAAGTAAATGGGGGAGCGGATAGAGGAACCTTGAAAAGATTGTGGATCACTGCTTGAGGAGATCATCTATTACTTCCTCTACAACAGCTATATAAAGTCATATACAGGATCATATTGTACTTTTGTCTATTGATACCACCAACAGAATGCTAGAGAAGGCCATTTTGAGCATACTGAGTCATCATCTAAGGATGTGCTGGGATATTTTGCTGTTTGCTGCAGATCAGCACCCAACCAACTCAATTATATAACCCAGCATACAATAAGGTCACTTCTGCAGTGTCCCATTGCTTCTGTTACTCAGGGATTTCCACATTCATCCTACAGTCACCAATATACCTTAAAAACCCTGAAAACGAGAGATGTCAATCTTTTTTGAGCAGGTTATTGGTGTAATGCAGAGCTGTAGTAAAGGGAAGGGAAGGGAAGGAAGCTAGCTATGAAAACTGGTTTGCCACTGGACTTTGGTTTAATATTTCTAATGCTGGCAAAGTTATTTTTGCACAGATGGCAGAAAACCCCGCAGGCATGTCTCTCCTTCCCTG